CGCATACGAGGTTAAATATGATTTTCTGGTAATGTAAGATAAGTACCTGAATGTGAGAACTGATTAGTAGTGTTTTCCTAATTTTGCTGACAGTTTAAAGCATGGGATGTTTCTTGCAGCTAATAAATATAAGCAGGGTACTGTTTGAAGGATTATGCCTAACTGTACATTTTAAGTAGTGTATAAAACATTGAGGAGTGTTGGAATATAAACAGTGCGGAGGCATATTTCTGGAAGTCGTTGTTCAGCTTTGGAAGGCTTAGTAGTAATGATGCATCAGTTGACTTTTTGCATGGCAGAGTAGTAGGATATGCAGACCTAAAAAGAAAAATCATGACATAGGTTTGGTAGAAATAAGATGAGGATAAAATGGTTTGAATCTTCTTATTTGAAGGATAAGAACAAGGTTGTACATAAGAAGTGCATTGGATCTTTAAAAACCACATTTATAGTTTAAGTAGAAATGCTGTTTTCTGATTTTATTAAGAAATGAATCGTTACTTAGGTTTGAATCTTCTTATTTGAAGGATAAGGACAAGGTTGCACGTAAGAAGTGCATTGTATCTTTAAAAAACACAGTCATTTATAGCTAAAGTAGAAATGCTGTTTTCTGATTTTATTAAGAAATGAATCGTTACTTAGCATGAAGAGGAGTTTGATCTGTGCACTGTGCCTTTATAGTCAGAGTTCCTTACCGAAGTTCGTGGAAGGAGGTTTTCTAAAATCTAAAGACAAACTGGTTATTAATAAGAATTAATTACTTAAGCTTTTCTGTTTGCTAAAAGGAAACTTAATAGTATTTTTCTGATTTTGTTTCTTGTTTTTGTTATGCATTATGAGAAGCTTTGAGCTTCATTTTGCAGGTGGTTAAAGAGTGAAGGAGGAGTCTGTTAGCTAGCTACATTTATGCCTGTGAGTGTCCTTTGGCTGCACTTTGTTTAGGAGCAATGTGTCCCTAAGATTAATTTTGCCATGTTTGATTATTTATTCACTCTGTCTTTAACTGATTGTGGTTTGTTAGGTATTTCAGTTTTCATGGACTTTTTTTTTTTAATTTTTATTTTTATTTATTTATGATAGTCACACACAGAGAGAGAGAGGCAGAGACACAGGCAGAGGGAGAAGCAGGTTCCATGCACCGGGAGCCGGACGTGGGACTCGATCCCGGGCCTCCAGGATCGCGCCCTGGGCCAAAGGCAGGCGCCAAACCGCTGCGCCACCCAGGGATCCCCACTGACTTTTTTTTTTTTTTTTTTAATGGAAGGTTGTTTTTAATTTGGACCACAGCAATGATACCTTTTGACTTAGTTTTCAAGATTGCATCGAAAGCTTGAATTTTTATAAATAATTTTCTTCAGTGTGAAGATGATTGGACATAGATTGTAGAGCGAGAAAAATAAATTTGATATTCTTTTTACTTATTGAACAGATGGACGTAAGTTTTATTTGCATAAAGCAAGCCATGATTTTTATTACATTACAGAACCTGTTTCTGTTAGTTAGAAACAATCATCCATACTAAGTCTCATAATTGACTACAGTGTAATTTTAAAATCGAGTTTCCCATTCTCAAACCTTAAAATTGCGTTTCACGTTAAAATCCTGACAAATACGCTTAAATTTTATAGTTAAAATCTGTTCATGAAATATCTGTCCTGGCCAAAGACCACAAAAGAGGTCTTGGTTGTGCGGTTTCCTCCTCATTTTCCCCTTACTAACAGAGGTTTTCCTATCTTGGCAGCTGTTTCCTACAAGGCAGTCATCAGTCTGATTTCTTCCTTCCCTTTCTTCCCACAAACAAGGACTCTTTCAAAAGCAGATGACCGAAGACAGATTGATGTTGGACCGCTTTAAGAAAGTGGAAATGTGTTCAAGAGTTGTGTATGTGGGCAGGCAGCCTGATGCATGCCATTGAAATGAAAATACTCATTACCAGCAGAATTTGGACAGTGAGAATTCTTTGCTCAAATCAGGAGCATTCCAGAGGCTGACTTAATTTTATGTGTACTAATTAATGCGTCTCATTCACACATTAAAATTATTCTAATTGCTTCACCAGATCATTGAACAATATGGAGGATATAAGAAGTTTTTCCTTGATTAGCCTTTCCAGTGTGACAGGTCATGAAATTATCTGACTTCTCTTGCTTTATATAAAAGAGCTTGCAGATTTAAGGCAGGTACTTCGCCACAGCGGTTGTAAATTGCAGCTGTACTCGTGCATTTGTCATTTGAATAGTTTTTGGGAGTTTAGTGTGAAAAAGAATAGAGCCAATTCTACAGGGTTGTGTGCCGTCTTTCCCCATAAGATTAATTTTTGATATATCATTCTTTTTCTATATTTCGGCATTCAGGAGAGGAAGTTCGATCCTCCCTTTGTTTTTGTCTTATTTCTTCGGGCATAGAATCATCTCAAGTGTTCCTATTAGAGGGACATCTGGGTGGCTCAGTCAGTTAAGTGTCTGCCTTTGATTCCGATCATGATCCCACGGTCCTGGGATTGAGCCCACTTCGGGTTCCCCACTCAGCCAGAGAGTCTGCTTCTCCCTCTCCCCTTGACTGCCGCTCCCCCCTGCTTGTGCTCTCTCTTTCTGTCAAACAAATAAAATCTTTATTAAAAAAATTGTTTTTAAGATGAAGTGTTCTTAGAACTGGATAATACCATTTCTGACCCCCTTCATCATAATACCTAAATGTCTTAAATAGGTTGGGTTTTAAAAAATATTTTATTTATTTATTCATGAGAGACACAAGAGAGAGGCAAAGACATAGGCAGAAGGAGAAGCAGGATCCATGCAGGGAGCCCGATGTGGGACCCATCGCAGGACCCCAGGATCACGACCTGAGCCAAAGGCAGACACCCAACCACTGAGCCACCCAGGTGCCCCGTCTTCAGTAGATTCAAAGAGAGCTGCTATTCTGGGTCATGGAGAGACGTATATGGAAGCAGTTTTATCTCTGAAACTAGAGGCATGATAAAACAAACTGCTTATTATGGAAATACCTTATTAGTTTCATCTGTGATTTTATGGATTTTTATATTTAAACACCAGAAATGAAGGAACCTGGGTGGCTCAGTCGGTTAAGCATCTGCCTTCAGCTCAGGTCATGATCTTGGGGTCCTGTGAGCGAGCCCTGAGTTAGGCTTCCTGCTCAGTGGGGAGCCTGCTTCTCCCTCTCCTTCTGCCCCTCCGCCCCTGCTCGCTTTCTTACTGGTGCTTGCTCACAGTATCTCTCTCTCTCTCTCAAATAAGTCAAATCTTTAAGAAAGTGAAGAATAAAAAATAATCATAACATTAAAAAAATGAAGAATAAAAAAAATAAACACTAGGTAATAAATTCAGATTAATCTTTCACATTTTTTTTGGTGCGGTTGTCAAGTAAAGCAAGATAGTAGCTTTGTAGGGTGGTAAGGATTCTGAACTATTTAGAATCTGAATGCTTTTTCATTGAAGTTATTAAATCATAGTGAACTGATGATAGAATAACTATATATTATCCTATATATTATTCTAACTGCTAATAGAATCATACATGACACATGAAGCATGTAGCAAATGCAGAGTAGCTCAGAAAATGTGAAAGAACTCGAGTTAACTAGGAAAACATTGGTTTTTAAATTTTCTTTGTGCTTTCGTGACAGCATCTCAATTCTGTAAGAGTTCTTTTTCATGGGGACAACCTCAGAATACAGATAAAACTTTCCTCCTTCCTCCACTTTAAAAAACTTTGCAGCAGATTAAGGGTAGATTGAGAGAACTTATTAGTAAGAGTATTACTTAGAAGAAAATTACAGGAAGTTAATATGAAGAAACTGTTAAGATAGCCCTTTAAAGGAAAATTTTGTAATTTTTCTGCCCTTAAGGCTAGACCAGGAGCCTGGATGTATTTGAGAACTGTCTGCATTTTATGTGTATTGTAAGGCTAGTATTTACTCTGATTCCTCATGTTACCCTAGAAAGAAGTGAAACACTTAAGTAAAACCTAGCAAATAACGTGGTCTCATGTGGTCCTGGGAACTGAGGAATTCTGATTAAGTCATGCTCCTAAAGTTTTTTTTATCCTCTCTCATTGAAAAACTGAATTCTTGAGGGCCAGACAGACTTAAACTTGGTTCCAGGTTTTATATTCTTACCCCTCTCCTAGTTTTTTAGAAAAATAGTGCTACAGGCTTGGAGGTAAATAAATCATTGTGGTCTTTGGATTTTTATTTGAGTCTAGTAGGTGGACCAGCCTACTCAAGGATATAAATTTAATCTTACTACGTTATACTTTGCCATTAAAAAAACTCCAAATCTATGAAAATCTAAATCTTTAAAATGAAATAGAAAGAAACCCTTCATTAAACTGCTTCCTCTATGAATAACTATAGCAAATTAATATGTAGTGTTTAGGAATGTGGTGCTTTTGGAATGCCATTGTTATATAAATTAATGTACATCCAAGTGTTAAAAATTGTACATCCGTAATAGAAAATAAAACGACTTAATTATATCACTCATCTGTCCTTGAAGACAACAGGATAAAATATTAGATAATATTGCTGTTACCATCACTAGAAACAAAAACAAAAAAAAATGTGTTTATAAAACGTTATTAGAGGCATTATATACTGAAGCTAGTAATTTGATAAAAAAGATTGGTATGTGGCTAAGAAAGACAGATGTATTGTTCTAGAATGACTTCCTAAGCTTTTCAAAGAAAAAAATCATCATCAGGGATTTATATAACTATTCTGTGAATTCGTATGTCATGGTTATCTATAAATGGTTTTTGAGCTTTGATCGTTTTCTTTATGTTCTTGTAAGGCCCAGGTATCCAGTATGTAGGAAAAGCACCTGTATTGGATATAGAATCAAAACATATAGCATTTATTTTTTTATACTTATGAAATAGATGGAGGCCAGGAGGGAAAGACTTGTTGTTATTATTTTTGCTTTTTTTGTGTGTGTGACGTAACAGGACCATAAGAGTAAATGATGGATTTGTTTGTTTTTCAGATATGAGGATCAATGATGCAGACTGCTGGGTTCGATGAAGCTGGGCATTTATAACTAGATTCATTAAGGAATACAAAGAAAATATTTAAAGGGATCAATAATGGTGTCTTCTGGTTGCAGAATGCGAAGTCTGTGGTTTGTCATTATAATCAGCTTCTTACCGAATACAGAAGGTAAGATGCAATTTAAATTTTATTTTTTTAAATCTGAGTGAACTTAATTTAAACTGTGTAATCTACTCTTGGCTAGAACGAGTTTTATTATTTCAAAAAGTAGCTGTTAAAAAGATTTCCCAAATGTCAAATTCTTTTTTTTTTTTTTTTGGTGGTTGAATTTATTTTCATTACACACAGCTATGGTATGGAAGAAAGTGCTAGAAATCTGAATTTATGTTTCACATAAATTTGTAAAATATTATCATTAATAATCCTGAGAGAAGTAAATGAAAGCTTTGCTTTCGTGTTTATTTTACACTTATTGACCAAATTTATTCCAGTTAAATTGTAAGTATTTTGTGTCAGTTTTTTAGTTTGTTTACTTCTTAAATGGAGGCATAATTTAGTTCTGAAGCTCCTAAATAAAATATTTTCTTATCTTCCGGAAAATATATTTTTTGTAGTTCTCCCTTTTGAATGTTATATATATCTTTTTGAAGATGGGTCTGATTTTAAAGAACTACCTGCACTTCTGAGGCTTACTGAAATAATCGGAACCATCATTTATTAATTACTGTATAGATTTCTTGATATCAGTTATTTCTTTAGTCTTACATATTATTTCCATGTGAAAATAACACCCTTTCAGTTGCTTTTTATAGAGCAGGTCAGAAGTTAATATGGAGCTAAGATATGTTAATTTTATAGCTATTTGATAGTGGTAGTTATATATTCAGTGTGAAACTATATTAATCTTGTAAAATCTGTGAAGAATACAAAAATCTCTGAGAAATGCATGGATTTTATTTGTCCCAATTAAATATTCTTGAAGAAAATATTTTGGAATTTTAAAACTGGTTTTCTATGTACTTTTAAGTGATCCCATTTATACCTATTAATGAAATGACAGGTGGAGACAAAGAGGTGTGCTGTCAACTAATAGAAGCTTATTATTTCAGCATCTTTGTAATAAGCTTCAGAATTAAAATGTGTTAACATTTTAATTTTGCTGAAACAATTTTATCTGAATTGCTGTTCCAGAATTATATTTCATCATTTTCTTCTTGCCTTCCCTGTTCCCTGCTTTCAATATATTGACACAACTTAATAATATAATTCAAATAGATAACATATTTGGAAGTATTTTAAAATAAGAAATTCTGTATTCAGAAAGTAAATAATGTTCACTTAGATTTAAATTTCAAAGTTACAAATGGGTTAATATTCTGTTTTTTAGAAGATACTACTCTTTGCATCAGAATTGAAAGATACATCAGATCTAACAGTAAAATGTAATATGTCTGAATGAATAGTACCATAATGATAAACAACAAGCAGAAACTGAGTTTAAGAATATGAATCCGTGGCTTGAATTGTTATGAAAATCTTGTGTATAGTCTCTAATTTTGCATCTGTTTTTTTGGGAGGGAAAACTAACTGAATTCCTGCTGTTATGTTTGAATGTTTTTATACATTCAAGAAAGATTCCAGGTGTGGACCAATGGCTCATTAGTCCACATAATGAAAATATTTCCAATCAAGATAGAGACCACTTTGCTGGCACAGAAGCTTAACTCAGCAGGGGGGCTAGCAAACAGAGACTTTTTCATGAGATACTGCAGTTTTATTTCTAGTGTCACCTATCAGGTCAGGATTCATATCTGCTGTTAAGAGAAATTTCATTTTTGGCGCATCAGGCCAGGGGGGTGTTGCTTTTGAAGCAGTTCCCTCCTACGGGTAAAAAGAACCTGGGAGGAATCCACACAGCTAGCTGTAAGAGTAGACAGTGTTAATGCACACTGTTAGAATACTGATCCAGCACCACATGGTTTTGTCTTAGAAAACTTTTACATGACATGATAGTCCTTTATTGCCAGAAAGCAGATAATGTTCTGTGATCACCTAGAGAGAAAACCAATCAAAGTGAGGTATGAGAGCACAGGAAAGAAGTTATAAATTGAACCATTCAGCTATTAAGTTTCTTCAGAGCCCTTACATGATGGTTACCTTTTCAAATCTTACAGAGATGAGCACTTTTTGTGTTAGTTTTTGGATTCTTGCAGATACAACTCAGATGACGTTTCCTAGGTGGTTTCTTCCTTTCTCATTTATTGAGTGACTACACTGAGCTAGGTGCTTAGGATTCTGAAATGCACTAGGCACAGTTCCTGCTCTTGAGGAGCTCCCAGTCTTGTGCGGGGGGAGAAACTGTAAGTACCCACTGGGGTCGAGCAGGCGAAGTAATAACTTCAGTGCAATAGGCCAGTGGAGGTCTACAGTAGACAGGAGAATGCTTGCCGGAGGACCCATGGTTGCCATTCCAGTATTTAGCCTGGTTTTGCTGGTCTTCTGACTTTGCAGTAGAAACCAGACGTGGATTTTAAGTAGTATCAGCTAATTAAGATTAAAACAAAAGCAAAACAAGCCTGTGTATTATATTTAGCGATGAACTTGCCTTCTTCAGAGCTTTTATTTTTTCCTCTTTACCAATAGTGTTTCACTTTCGTATATTATTTTAAAGGCCAAACATAACTTTTGGATTTATTTTTACATCAGATGAGAGGTAAATTTCCACATTTGCAAGGACTTGTTTTAATGTTCAGGTAAACATTCTAAATATGTCATGTTTTGTGTACATAGTTCTTTAGAACAAACTACTGAAGATTATTTTTAAATTTTACAACAGTAAAATCTAATTAAGGTTTAATTGTTAGAATTAGCTTATCTCTCTCTCTGTCTGTGAAGTAGGGTTTAAGAATCAAGTATCACCCGTTAAATTTACTTGTTTTTGCAAAATAGGAACAATGTTTTGGTTATTCTTAGAGTCTGTTCTCCCTTGCGTATTTTTGAAAATTGTTTAGAATTTCCAAATAAAAAATGATTATGAAAGATCAGACTTTCAAAATGTTTTGTAAGTTTTTCTTAGAATTGATTTTATTCCTAGAGAACTAACTAATCTCAAGCCCTTCAAAAATCAGTTTTGTTGAGAAACTGGCATGCTTTGATTCTTTTGGCCAATTTTTATAAGCAGAGTAACCACTGTGGAATCATGTATCAGTAAGTAGGAAAGTAAATTGAATTTTTGTGTCCTAGAGAATTAAATTATGCTATATAATGGAGCCCTGGCAAGCATAAGTCAGACATGTGAAGGCTTGCTCGAGTGACAAGTTACAAATAATAGCAGTTCTTCAGCAAAGTCGGTTTTAAGATGGATTTCAGGTTGAATATTTTATGCAGTGAGTATTTAATTAGATTTCATTAGTGAAAATTTTAATCTGCTCAAATTACATTGTTATTTATCCTTATTTCAAAAAGAATGTTATACCCGTATAAATGCCAGATATGCAAGATACAGTATTACCTATTGTATATATATCAAGAAAATTTAAGAATGCTGTTGTAGAAATAGTCTCTTACCGATTTTAAATGTACTCTTAAATTGTCTAAGCATATTTTACAATGACTTTTGTATTAATGATATCTTACTAAAAAATAATGTTTGGCTATAGAAAAATAATATTTGGCTATTTCCTTCAGACTGATCATAATTTGGAAGGAATAGTAGCTTTTTATCCAAGGTTAAACTTAAGGATTAAAATAATTCAGACCTGTATTCATTCATTCTTTTATTTATATGCACGTATTAGAAAATGTATAAAATTTTATTTCCATATACACTATTGTCAGCATCACAGGGGCAACACTTGTTTTTTGTTTATTTCATCAGTGTGTCCAAGTGCCTAGAATGATGCCTGGCTTATAATTATAAGTACTCACTTTAAATCCATCACATAAATACCAGAAATCTTTGAAGAGAGTCATAGTCTTAATAGAGAGAGGATAATAAATAGTTGTAATAATAGGTTAGTTAGTGCCATTATGGATGATATTCACAGAAGCATTGAGATGAAGAGTAGAGGGGGGTTGGATGTATGTCAGGAAAAGGCTTCCAGCTGCAAGTGATGGTGATTCAGTATAAGTTGAATAAGTACGTAAAAGCAGTGGGTGAGCATGGTGGTGAAGGAAAAAAATCAACAGAGAAACAGCATGGTGTGGAATAAAGTATTGTAGTGGTTCTTAAGAGCATCAGAATCACCTAGAGAAGGTCTGGGGTGCCACCCACGCATTGCATTTCTGACAAATTTGGGGGATGATGTCCCTCAGCATCACAGTTAGCCACTGTAGTATCGTATGTGTGTAGGTGGTTGAGGTGAGGTGTAGGGATGCATGCATATTGGATATAAAGTAACTTTTTGAAAGTGTTTTTGAAAAGAAATTAAATAATTCACTAGGATCCGGAAGTAGTTATAACCAGTTGATTACAAGGAATTACTACAGGAGGAATTACTATCTGTATCTCTTCATGTGGCTTTTTATTCCTCCAATCAGGCTTCTTGGGCATAATTTAAGGCTCTAAAAAGGGATTTCCCCTCTCCTTTCTTGACAGTGTATTGAGAAGGGGGAAAAAAAAAAAGGAAAAATTGGCTCCAGACTGTAAAAAAAACAGGACATATATTCTGTTTAAGAGTAAATGCTACATTTTCAGAGCTCCTAAACCCTTGCTTCAATTTGTCTCTTCATTGTGATAACCGTGTTCTTTTTCTTGTTGGGAATAACTACATGGCCATTGCTATGAAAATGCTGAACTGACTTACTGTAGGGACTTCAGATTTCCCAGTCTAGCAAAATTGACTACTTTTGTTCATTTCAGTATATTTCTGATTAGTTGAAAGCTAGGAAGTAAATTTTCAGCAAGGTATGTGGAGATTTGGCCATATGACTCCTATTAAACTTAATGGGAGTCACTACTCTCATTAAATTAATAGGAATCGTGCAGCATATCTGTGTTGGCTGAATAGCAAATGTAACCTTATTTTTTAAATTCACAAATTATGTAAATTAACGTTGCTTTAAAACTGCATTTTTTTAAATAATGATTTTATTTATATGTTTAGTGTAGATCAATGTGATTTGACTCCTTGAGAAAGTACCCAACTATATTGCTCTTAGGACACTTT